ACGAACTGCGAGGGCCGGCGGGGCCATCCTCGGCAAAATAACTAGAGATAATTACGCGCATAAATCAGACCGTTAATATTCGGGGGCGTAGGTAGGAGGCGCTCAGGTATTCCCTGCGTTATAGGCAGGCCAGAGATCTCCTCGAGGATGCGTGGTTATAATACGCGAGCGAGAACTGTGCGCAGAGCTCGGGATAGAGGGTCGAAAGAGCCCGGGGTGCCGGGGGGAATCGGAGTAGAAACGAAGAGAGAACGGAATAACGCTGGACTCCGGGATCGGTAGATCATTCCGTGGCCGTCGGGTACGCCTCCTTGTTAGCCAGGGTTTACTTAGTCCTGCGCGGCGACGCGCTGCCAGGACGTGCGTTACGCCCGCTAATAGCCCCCACCGGTAACGAACTACCGTCCCGGCATTTTTCTCGGTGGACCTATCTCTCTCCTGTCCCCTAACGAAAACCTATGCGAGTCTCTTCTCATCGCGTGGCTTGCTTATCGATCATCCTCGTCATCGCCCCTGGAGGAAGGATCGATGGCCTCTGGAAACGAATTCCTTAACGCGTATTTCACTCTTCTCGCGAATGATATACCGCCCGGATTCTCTGTAGGACGTTTACTTATGCGTCGACTCGCGATGCAAGGACAGATCACTTCTGGTTCGGCCAGAGAGGATGCATCGTTCGCCTGGTAGGAATCGATCGATCGACGCCCGGGAAATCGAACGATCCTGTGGTTACTGGCAATTTAATTAAGCCGCCAGTATTCCCTCGTGATTCTTCTTGGTACTCCGTATCGGGACAATGTTATATCGGGGATGGAAAAAAGAGAAGAATGCTCGCGCCAGCGAGCGCACACACGGTGGCGTTGGAACACTCATAACAGGTGGACCGATCCCCCTGGCGCACGGAGATGCATCTTCGAGGTGGGCGGTCCCACACTCCTTAAATCAGCCCGCAGCCACCATAACATTAAGGCCGCCTCTCACGGTGCCTCCCCTCGGACCCCTCGGACTGCCGTTTATTTGTTTGCTTAGAGCGAGTAATTAGAATCCGATACAAATGGTTATTATTTATCGGCCAGAGGGAAGGGTGGGGAGGGGGGCGGCGAATGCAGAAGTAGGTAGGTGGGAACACCTTCTGATTGCTTTGGCGTTATTAAACCGACCGATACCGGTAGATAAATACACGGACGGGATGGTTAGGCTGCGGATCTCTCTCTCGCCACCGGTTCGATATAATATCGCCGTGATCCGAACCGAACAGGTCTCTTCCCTATGATGTTCTGTTCCTTCGTGTCATCTCGAGACTTCGTTCCGAATTACTGGAATTGTCTGAAATGTGACAAACACGGGTGGGTTCCCTTTGAGGGTTCTGAATATTTAGACAGAAAACGGTGTACCTGACCAACGAACACATCTGACAATAATAGGAAGAAGAATAGCCTAAACAAGGCACAACTGTTTCCCAAAACAAAAACTCTCGTCGCCAGAGGGCATCTCTATCCGAACAAGCACAAATCAGATAAGTCCTAATGCTCTGTTAAAGTCTCCTTCCCAAATTAACATATCCACGATCACCAGCGAAGCTACCTCTATTTATCGAACGACCCTAAACGTGAATCCAAAAATATACCTGTACCAATCGATACGATGATAAGAAGTTGCAGAATGCGTTCTGGTAACTTGGCTGAAAACGATACGGTGTTACATGTTGGACGCAGCGGCGACGCGCACCTGTCGAGAGAACGAAAAAGGATTTTAACGATTCCACGGAATGGAATATAATGATGTGTCCCCCTCCGATTGAACAGAAGCGGTCATGACGGGCAAACGCCAGCCGTCCTGCATTTCTTGGGAGGAGGAGTAGGGGGAAGGGAGACGCAACGAATCGAAGAGGCGAATCTATCGCGATGCCAGACGCGTCCGTTAATAAAGTATAATGGGCACACGGTACCCCGACGACGATGTACACCTGACCCGGGCGAATACAATGGCCGTCCACCAGGTTCGAGCACCGATCACGTAGGCCACGTGTGCGAACGGCTCTTTAATACGGGCTCGTAAACCATCAGCGAGAAAAGGAGAAAAGGTATAAATACGCGGCGTGACTGCCGACCGCGGGGGCGCCCCGTAAACAATAATACAAAAGTGCAAGAATACCGAACAACGTGCCAGAAATGGCTAATTGACGCGACGAGAAAGAAGGTCGTGTGTATTCGTCCTGAATCTTTCATCGGGACTCCCTCCACAACGGTTTATCCACGGTAAAGTTTCTATTGTAGTGGAACCATCTAAGGACCACGATGTTTCAATGATTACCCTCGATGATCTATAAATCGATCGACCGTGAAATACCATTTTCCGTTCGACTAATCGTCCGATTTATATACACCCCAGTGAAAGTTTAAAAAAACGGAGGTGGGTTGGGTAACGGCGAGTGGGTGTCACGTTGATTAGCTTCCGTGTTGATTTAATTACCAAGGGGGGGAATAATTGGAATGCCTATCGTACCACCTCACCCTTCCATCCCGCAACGACATCCCCTCCCCCCTTCGCCGTCGTTTGCTTCACTTTGTCTACTGCGCCCTCGGTCGTCCCTCGCGTTCTCGCGACCTGACCGTTGCATATTCATCGATGGATTAATATATATCCCATGTGTCGAAGGCTCGACTGGAAGCGATGTTACACCCTCCGGTAACCAACGATACCGAATTTCCGCGTTAACGCGTCGCCTACACGAAATGATCGACAACATCCCAAGTCTGCTGAAAAAAAACTATGTATACATTGAATCTCCTCGATTACTTGCTACATATTACAAAGTCAAAAGGAAGCTTCACCGCCATATCCTTTCGGCACCCTGTACTAACATTCACCAACTATGTCCAAAATTAATTAAAGCCCCTGAAAATTCCACCGGAGGATCAGGTCCGTGAAAAAAGTATTCGCTTCCCAATTTCACAGAAGACACACAAATTTCACAAGTACAAAAGGACTACAAGGTTCCTGGGCCGGGAATAAAACCGGGAACCCCTCGTGGACAAAAAAAAAACGTCCAGTTTTCCGCGAGTTCCCGCGAGCAACCGCGGAAAACGGTCCGTGTGATAGACGGCGCGTGTCGGACGGCAAAAGGGAGAAACAACAGACGCGAAAAAGACAATGCAGGGGAGGGGGGGAGACGAAGTTCGTTGCCAATTTCCACTAGAGAACTCGCGCGCGCACGAGAGGGTTTCCCGTCGCAAAAACGGGTTGCGCGCCGTGTACGGTTACCGTTCGTACGGGCGGCCATAGGGCGAGCGTATATCGCGGCGATGTTATCCGCAAACACGCGGGTTCGGCCAATTTATCCCAAGGGATGAGGCCGACGTGGCCCCGGAGCCAGGGTGTGGGGCAACCTTGTCCAGCGGAATGAATTCAGCACGCAGCCCCTGGTGCGGTCGAGCCGCCTCTCCACCACCCAGACCCCCAACCCCTTTTACAGACCACCACCTCCAGCCATCGTGCTACATCCCCACTTTCCAAACCGCTTTCCATCCCCCTTATGGTCCTTCCTCGCCGCCTTTTCCATCGATGTTCTCCGCGAACGACCGTTAAGGACGGTTCAAACTGTTCGGTCGGGAAACGATACGTGCTAACAACGATTGCCGTGTGTCGTTCGTGGCTTACTGTTTTTATCCGCCCCCCCCACCCCCCCCTCTGGTTAAGGCGAATGATCATCGTACCGGCGACACTTTGGGTTCAGGTCAATTGGTTGATTTTTTAGGGTTTTAGGAATTTCAGGTTTTGGTAGGGAACGAGAAGTTCATAGTAGGGTTAAAGAAAAGAATTGTGGAGCGTTCTACGTGACAGTATTGTATCGGGGGGAAAATTAATTTATGTATTGGGTCTAATCTCACACGTCATCCCTACCCCTAGGCGCTTAACTGGTTCCACGAGGAACCCCTCAGTGATAGGGATGACGTCTGAAAATTTAATGCCGAAAAGCCTTCGAACACTCATCGATCGTTTACTCTAATCGTCCGATTATTAAAGGTTAAGACTGTAAATTGTAATCTTCCACGAACCTTGTTAAGAGGAGGAACGATATGTATTGCGAGATTCAGTGTGGAGAGACCGGCCTTGACGCAAAAACAAAAGTACTTGACGTCGTACACAGAAATGAAACTACACCTTAGCTCGAGCATCAATTATCAAGGTAAAAGAATCAAGGAGACAAACAGGTAACCGAACATGCTGTAAGCCACTCTCCGGAAGACTAATTGATACAAGTGACGGCACAAAGCTCTCTCCCAGGGCTCTCCGATGTCGTCAGGGCCACCCCTACACGGGTTAATAACGAATATCAATAGTGTGAATAATCCTTAACCGGTCGGTATCGGACAACTGGTGATCCGCTCCACATATTGGCGGTTTCGGTGTACAACGGGCCGCCTGATTGCCACGGGGGCTCTTAGATTTATTGACCTGTCAATGCCGCCGCGCGAAAACGGCGAATTTACAACGCCGCAGGTGTTAAGTTCTGCCGTGCGTGTAATAACGGCCTGATCCCGGGGGCCTACGGTAAGCCACACCGTAATTATATTTCCGAACCTCCTGGTCCCCGGCCACCTTTGTCATTATCACCAGAGGCGGCGTGGCCGTAACTCAATGAGAGATCCGCGTTCGCCCGTGTGCGCGTGAACGATAACGCCGCCTCTGTACGGTTCAGGCCGCGTGGTCGAATCGCCCGCGAATCTACAATATTCTTTTTTTTCACCACGAACCGATCCGGACACGCAATTCGGTACGTGGTGATTATTTCAAGTCGAAAAGAAATTTACGAGCGATATCGCAAACGCCGAGTTCTCCGCGATTTTTATCAGAGTCCTTTATTCCACGCGTGTCGGGCGTGGTGGTGCACACGCGTATGTGAAATATATCATCGCTCAAAAAAAAAAAAGAGGGCAAAAACAGTGTGAGAGAGACAGTTACGAATTGGAAAAATGAGAGATCATAATTAGGCTTACCTTGAGCCCGGTGAGTCGAGGTTCCTCCGCGGCCAGCTTCGCCAACGCCTGATAATCCCCCTGCGCAGCTCTGACCAACCACTCCCGTGACTTCCCGTCCAGTTGCTGCAGTCCCAAACCGATATAATTGCCTCGATTAATAGAGGTTACTCGGCGCACGCTAGTCGCCTGACAGACACGACGACGAGGCGAACAGGAAGAACACGCGAGAGTAGATCCGCGGTCGCGATTAACACGGGGGAAAATTTTAATTAAGATCCTCGATGATTCGATCGCGTGGCCTTTATCGGGCCCCCCGGTTTCAAGATCGTCCGACGAACAATTATCTTTGATTATAAAGAGAAAGAGAGAAAGGTGCTCGCGATAATCATATGGAGCACGGTGGAACGATGACGATGATGATGAACTTACCGAGGCAACGGAAGCGCTGTCATCCTCGTCGGCACCCTGCGGGGAAAAGAAGAAAGTCAGTCACTCACACACACATGGTTTGGGTCGCTTCGAAAAATCAACGTGACGCGCTACGTCACGCGTGACGTACGACCGCGGGACCGTCTTCTCCGTCTCGTCAAAAAACGAGAGAGAGGAACCGGTCGTGTTCGCTGCGATCATCCGCTCTATATGGCTCTGGACCATCAGGTGAGAGAGAGAGAGAGATGATAATTTCTCTCTTTCTCTAGCGCCGCGGATGCGTGGCCATCGCGCAGTTACGAACCCCAGGACGCGAAGAGGGGGGGAAGAAAATGCGTAAAGGCAGCGGGGCGCCCGCGTACCCACGAACGCGCTACGGTCATCAGATTGATATACGGATCCAATAATTGATTCTCTGACGCAACACCCCAGGGAGGCTGGACCAACTTACGCAACCCCTACCACCACCAGGGCCCCGCCGCTCTTCGTCCATTGGGCCTGGATTGGGGCGAACTTTATCCTGACTGATGTTTGGCGAGTCGATTCGAGACAAGTGAATACAGAACTAAGTTTAGAATTGTAGAATAAGTGCTTCCCATGGTTTAATAGACAATTGACACTGTCGAGGTAACCCCAGTAAATCATCGATGAGTGTTCGAAGTCTCCTTGGCACTGACCGAAGCCTCCAGGTGTAACGCTGACTTTTTAATGAAATTTAGAACAGTGATAAAGCTCGGAATTCTGAAGCCAATGATACTTGTTTCAGCTGCAGATGACTATTAGTTTATGAAATATTTAATGTTCAGTGCCGAGGAGCCTTCGAACACTCATCCATCATTTACTGTATACTGTTTTATATATCGAGCTCCAATTATTCTTCCCCGAATTTATTTTCAATCACACAAAAATATAGATTTCTCCAATTTCAAGCGCTCCTGGTCAACAGACGAAAAATCGTCCCAGTCAACCCCTCCAGGCTAACAGAACAATTTCATCAGTAAAAATACTTCCGTAACATTCCGTAACAAGGGGCGTCATTCGTTCGCGTTCCGGCAGCGGTCCCCGCGAGCCCGTCGGCTCATTTCTCGCGATGCAGTAGGAGGACGCGCGGCGGACGAGCAAGAAAAAAAACCGAGGGACAGGTTAGGGGTGGAGGTGGCGAGGAGCAGCTGATCCCAAGAACGTTAAACGACTACTCATCCCTGTTAAACTGTTTGTATTTTCACTCGTCACGGCTGCATCGTCCGTTCGAGGTGCTCACATCGACACTCGTATCCGAATCAATCGTGACTCCTCGTAAATTACTTGGAACGAGGGACGGTGGTGGGGGAGGTGGGCCTCCACGGTGCTCGCCCCGAATTCGGTCGAGTCATCATTAGCCTGGGGCCCCCCCGATATATCTCTATCGATCGACACCACCTCGCGTGTCCTTAAGTGAAATCGTGATTCCGTGGGTGCGATCTCGCCAACTTGGTCTCGCGCACGCTTACTCCGTTAATTGAATTTCCAATTTTAAATCCCCCGTCCACCTGGCTGGCCCCGAATACCTATGTACCCCGCAATGCAAAATACAGTCGGCTGGGGGGCCCCCAGTGTCGCATCGATTCGAATCAAACGTCGCCAAAATGCGTATTTATTTTTGTTTTTCATACACCCCCCTACGTTCACCTTCGAACAAACATTGAGTGTCTGGAATGAGAACCACTGACACCCCCCGTCGCGTCAGGTGGTGCAGCGAAGTACGTTCCCAGCTTTCGTGAGCGCTACGACCACTCTCTCCCGGCGAGAGAGATGCCCCGGTGCTTCTACTCGTGGCAAATTCATCGACACACACGGACACGAAGAAGATAGTCTTTATTATGTACCTACATACGTCTCTCGCGCGCGTTATCCGCCATCAATGATTCGACAATTGTATTTTCAATAAGCGGTTGTTATTGCCTGGCACGACTTAACAATAACCTCCGCGGACGAACCGCAAACAGATTCGGTCGGTTTTGCTTTTACTTTTTGGTTAGCCGGCCGACGAAAACGGATATTGAGTCACCTCTCGGTGACTTTTTATGATCTACGAATGGAACGGGAAACGGAGAACAATGGCTGCAATGCTTAACAGTCGGAAAGAAAGTTTTTGTCTGTCACGGTATACGTCACTGTTATTTTACTCGTGATGTACAATACCTGTAAACGGTACTCGTTAGAGGACGCGATTTATGCTTATTCTATTTAGAGAACACTATACTCTATACCCATTGTACTTCTCAAATACAGTTTTCTAGACCCTTCCCATAGCTCTCTTATACTTATACAATATTTTGTACTGTGATACATGTATACACGGATTGTAAACCTAACTCATAGTTTAATACCGATCCAATACAGGATGCGGCTCTCGAGTATTCTTAGATAAGCGACACATGGCTCCTATCCTGATAAAGTTTTTCCACCACTTCTCTACACATTTAAGGTTTGACTGAAATAAACATAAGTGTATTCTGCGATCGTTTCGATAAATGTTACATACACTAAAAGTTTCATCCTATAAACACGATGCCTCGAATCTCGATAAACGATACACTTAGTAACAACAGTCTCGAAAATCGTAACATTAAAAATTCCCATGTCACCGGCGAGTTTCGTTGATGTTCAAACGATTTCCAAATCGGGTAGGTACGGCCCTCGCCGCGAGGAGACACTTGTTTCCTCATAGTACGACCGAGGTATATGCAAATGGTACGATCCTGTCCGGACGCAGCGAGTCCGTGAACGATCAGACAGACGTGTGTATACCAGTCGGAACCGTTGAGGCCGCGAAGACCATAATGGCGCGGTTATCAGATAAGCGTACAAAAGGACGGTAATCGTAATAGCATCGCAACGATGGCCTCCTCTGATTCATCGCTGGCAGAGAGATCGAAGGAGGCAAGGATGGTATAGAGGGGTGGGGGGAGGACAGCATGCAGGGAAGACAGGTCCATCCTCATCGGCGCCTGGTCCCGTCAGCGGGTCATTGTCTCCGCGTAATTAATATTTTAATTGAGATCACCGAGAATTAATTAATGCAACGGCGTCGTTACACCCCCCGGTCTGAACTGTTCGTTTAATCGATCGTAACACGGCGCCTGTCAGAGCTGTACAGGTCGTTCCATGAATTTTCGCCGAGCATCAGGACTTCACGCTGCGCGCGCGTGTACGCCCCTTTAGATACTTATCTCCAGGCTAATTTTTTATACACCGCGTTTTACCAAAATCGTTACGATTAGATCGACGCTGGGTTCTAGTACCCGTTGATATGTATTCGTTCATCGAGAACTTTCGGATCGAGCTAAGGCCGTGACTACAAAATTCGACGAAGTATGCATAACCGGTTGACTCCCCCCGTAGTAGATACCAGCAATAGATGGCAAACTTTCTCGAGGATCCGGACACGCACTTAAAACTTTCCACGCGATAACGTCTTCGAGATGTTTCCGAATGATTCGCCGTTGAACTTCCGCGAGTTACCCCTCTATTATCTAATCCCCCCACCTTTGGAACAAATAAAGAAAGAACAGTTCCAGAAATACGTCGATCGTCGAACGACAAACGGAGCCGGAACACGTAGGGCCCTGGAATGCATAGCGTCAAACGGACCATGAGAAATTTCCACCGAGGACCGACCCTGTTATTATCCTGGACCAAGGGACGTTGATTCTTTTCTCCTCTAATTAAATTAACTACGCTTCTTCTAATTCGTGGGCTTCGGCAACATGCGGATACTCGAAAACCACCGTTCGTGCACGTGCTGCGCGACCGCCACTCTTTTCCCCAGGACAATGGAAAGAACGCAAAAACAGGGTATGTTGGAGGAGCGGGGTGGGATGGACGGAACGAGCGGTTGCTGTTCAGCGTGGAAACGTTTTAATAAACGGACGTGTGTGTGCTACCCTCCGGACCGAGGGGGTGTATAAATATATTCGGTTTGTTCCAGCGCGCGCGGAAGAAGAGAGAAACGGAGCCACGAGTCAGGAGTCGGGGCAGAGGGTTAGGATATCGGTGGAACGACGAAAGGAACAGAGTCGAGAGAGGATAGGAGGGTGGCGGGTGGGACGAGAGGCGAAACATGTTGCGGCACGAGCTGCTTCAAGAACACCGCAGAATTAGCTTTATTATAACCTGGGGGCCATCCATACATGCCTAACAGAGAGCAGGAACATTCGCCGGCCAATAAGCCGAATGCTAACCAAACATTTTCGCGACTCGCCGCACCCTCGAATTTATCCCTGCCCGCCACGACCCAGCGTAAAGCCCGTCCAACTGGGGACGATGAGGGGGAGAGGATCGATTTCACGAATTAAAGCTGGATATCTATTTAATGCACCCCCCCCCCCTCTGTTAATGTCCGGCCGCAGTCGACTATTAATACACCGGGCCCTGTTTGCGGAAACCACTTAAAAGATTACCGACAGTTTAGGGAATTATCGGAGCCCGTGGATTAGCCCGGAGCTGTATATTTCGTGCCATCTGGCCTCTGGGAATTTATGACGCCACTTAATTTAATAAGAACGATAAGCTTTTTCTTTCTTCGACGAGCTGACATTTCCGGGCGGTGATTAATTGTCCGGAGGATCGGTTTGTTCCGAGATTCATTCGTTCCCGTTCATGGGCTCGTTCAACAAAGATCAAAGGCGAACGAAAAAAGTTCGGAAAGTTGTTCTACATCCTCATTAGGACATAACGAGGTACATTTTAATGAATTGGCAATCGGATATAAGGAAATCACTTCAATCTCCTCGAATGAACTACACCAACTTGTGTCATTTACAAAATGACGAAAAAAGAAACGATAGAATGCTCGTACGACTGTGGGTTAGAAATAGACTAAGATGAGGTTGAAATCTCAAACTTCTATACAACCAAAGACTGCCACCATCTGAGATAGAGATCTACCATCTTCATGAACACCGTGCCTACTTCCTACAGCCTGCGCATCTCAGACAAGACTCCAGATCATCAGGCGATCGCGTATCCCGCTGGACGGGAAAATTCCCCATAGC